AAGGGAATTAGAAAAAAAAACCCGCGAAAAAATACCCACGAAAAAACCCGCGACTTTCGTTAATAACCCTCGACCAGCGAAAAAAACCGCGAACAAAACCCGCGACCCGCGACAATTAGATTATCTCGGGTGGGGGGACCTGAAAGGATTAATCTCATAGTTTATATATGAAAACATGCTTGCCTACTTTAAGTATCAACAGATGAAATGGCACCAGTTCTGGGGTAAAAATCTCTTGTTAAGACTATCAAGTAACGAGGTCCTAGCACGTTAAAATTAGGTACGGGTGACAATAAGCTGGTCATCTGTGTCGTACCAAAAATTAGTATGCGTGGTTGTGAACCACGGCGCTATTGAATGCGCATGCTTGTGATTAAATTTAGGAAGTATTTGCTTGATTGGTTTTCAAGGAAAACTTATCTATCTTAAAGTTAAAGTGTTTTCCTTTAGGCTTTAACATCTAACAGCTCTGATGAAAATCAGCGAGTATATTATGGTTGTTGGTATGAGTTGACGGTATGTTCATTTAGGATTTGTTGTACATCATTTCCCCTCTTTCTCCACACGTTTATAGTTTAAAATATATTTACGTTATCATTAAATATTGGCAACGGGTACAGGAAGCAACCAATAATTTACCCTTTGATTTAAGTAAGGAAATACATATGTATCAATCATGGTTTTACAATGAAAGGCGTTCTGTTATCCTGATTAATTCCAGACTGTTTGAATTTTATAGATGACACTAGTAAATGATTACAATTGGCCGAAAGCAGTTGCAGGACAAAGAATCCGGATTTTCCACGTACCTGGTAAGCTTATTAAACCTCATTTTTAATTGGTCTATACGCTGAATTAAACAAGTCGCCGCTACTGATGCAAAATAGTCGAATCTACCTCGAGGTGTGGATCATTTAAAACATGCACGGATTTTTGGGATTTCGAAAATCGCGTGGAATCTTGTTCATTGTTTTTAGATATTTATAATAATGTGAGGAAATTCGAAATCCGGCAAAACGATAGATTTCACATGATTGTGTGAAATCTGCGAAGAATACGATTTTTGTTCATGTTCAACCATGATATCTTCTAAGACTGATCAACTCCATTTTCTACTATTCCTTTAATTACACGCCTGGCATTTTTGCACGCGAAATTGCACTTTTGAAATGTCATTTGAAAATTTCGCTTTTGAAATTTTTTTCGTTACCGCGTGATGATTTCGGGAGCTTGGGAACAAATTTGACGAGTCCAAAATTCTTCATATTCCTTGGCCTTTTCCTTTTACGGGTTTTCCTCAAGGGTGATAAGGCGATAGCAGAAAAATATAGGGTCTCTCGAGGATCAATTTGATACCAATATTGCCATGGTAACGAAAAATGTTCTGCCGCTGGCGGGCTTCTTGTTCGAGGCTTTTGAGCGAAATGGAGTCTTTCAATAGAAGTTGTAGAAATGCAACAACTTCGGCTTCAATAGGATCTTCTGTTAACACTTATTTTGTTTGAATTTTTTATTGAAATTCAAGACAAAGGTCCTATTGAGGTCTGTATGTTTTTTGTTTTTGAATAAATACGCCACGAAGCGAAAAAATAATGCCTCATTTAAAGGCAAGAGACTACGAACGTTTTAATGTCGCGGAGTACATGAAAAGAAAAAGGCATGGTTGGTTGGCGATAGAAGAGAGCAATAAGCAGGCCCATAATACTGCTAAGAAGCTAAAACGTTTAGATGAAAAGGTATGAAGCGATTATATGTGTGTATTTCTTGAAATAATGGAGTTTCCTACCTATTTTATGTATAAACTATTTACATTTATGTAAGTGCTCGTTTAGATCATGTCTAACTTCTCATGTTGATGAATTATTTGTGCACAACTAAGCGTTTAGCTTTTTAGCAAATTACTAGTGATAAGCTACCTGGTGGTGTATTCCTGGTTTTATAATTGTGACCTTCCACGGGAAAACATACGTTAACGGTTTTGAAAACGTTCTGAAATCGTTCGTTATCCGTTCGTTATCCGTTTAAACGCTTTGGCTTTCCGTTGAAACGATATTTGAGATCGTTCAGACTTCTCAATGAACCGTTCAAACGGTTGGACAAAAACGTTTGAAAAATGCTGCTAAACCGTTCGAACGATTGGCGCAAACCGTTCAAATACGTTCACGAAGCCGTTTAAATGCCTTACTGAACGTCTTTACAATGTTTATAAGCTGGCTTTGTATAGGCATTTAAAAGTTTATCTGAAACCGGTTGTCTTGTAGGATTTACAAAGAACACCGTCTATTATAGTATTACGGACAGCAGTATAATACAAGTTCGCCACCCCTCACAAAATTAAATATTCTTGATATTTTATTAGAGCAGCGTCGAAACTGTTGCGGTGAAATACTGCAACAATAAAATGGAGCAAAAGGTTTCTCGAATGTTAAATAAACTGAAGGTTGTTTAAATCCGCGAGCTTGCCGTTTCCGTCTTTTAATAGCGTCAGCTTAGTGTCAACTAATTCACTTAAGTTCTATTATTATTCTGGCCGAATAACTAAGAGTCGTTATGTTACAAATACAATTGTATCAAAACAAACATATAATATTGATCTTAATAATATACCTGCATGCCTCACCAGTTTACACAGCGAATTTTGCCTATATGTGCCGAATATGATATAACGATTGAAAGCGGCAGTAGATCGGAACCTAATTGTCTAACACAATTCACTCTCGCAAGGTTTGAATAACTATGTGCGACACGGCACAAATTTCGCTAAATCATGTCACGTTGTCCAGGAAAGACTCGACACAAGTTTAAACGACGCGCTTTTCATGCATCGAAGTTAATGCATTTTAACAGTTTCACGCAAGTCGTCGTAAAACATTACCAGCAACGAAATAACATATGATATTTCCAGCATAGTGTTATGTATTTTGGTACGAGTACGACATTTGTAGAAATTCCAGTACTATATATAATTATAATATTAACAAATTCGTGTAGTATAATGTACACAGATGGACTTCATCAGGTCGTTTAAAACAGCAGAGTTCTATATATATAGAAGAGTTTTATAAACTTTGCCCTATATGCATGCATGCATGCACCTTCCAAAACTAGCGTATGAGAAAATTAGAAAAATATATAGGGAGAGTTTATAATTACTTGATTAAATAATAACTAGGTATGCATGCATAGTTCAGTAAAATGGAGTAGCATGTATGATATACTGTCAAATACAGTATCACATTTTAATGGTTTTATCCGAACGGCAACGACGCAAACTGTACTCGAAGACCATGACCGCGTGCGAAGCAGTCCGTTTCAATTAAATTTACACACAACACTATTCGCCGATTATTTTCTTATGCGAATACTGCGATAGTTACTTGATTTCACAGCTGGTATTCTCCTTTCACCAACCGAAACCAATACAGTTTCAGTGTCAAAAAATGTTACAGCCAGCTACTGGCTATTTACTAGCGTGATCTGATCCACTATATCTACATGGGGAAAACGTCCAAGTTGATATTAACCCTGCATGGTCTCTAAAGCCTTTTAATTTAAAGCAAATTTATAGCCTATATAAATTTAAGTTAATGAGACAAGGTGTGATGGCAAGATGAGGAGGTAGATATGGTTTATATCAACCTAATCTTTGACAGTTTGGTCAAAGATCTTGACAGATAGGTCAAAGATCATTTTCTGCCAGCTAGCACACATTCACGTGAACAAA